CCCGCCCTGACCCCTCCCGCCCCTCCCACCCAGGCCCCCCACCCACCGCAGCCATGCCGTTCGGCAACACCCACAACAAATTCAAGCTGAACTACAAGCCGGACGAGGAGTACCCCGACCTCAGCAAGCACAACAACCACATGGCCAAGGTGCTGTCGCCTGACCTCTACAAGAAGCTGCGCGACAAGGAGACTCCGTCCGGCTTCACCCTGGATGACATCATCCAGACGGGCGTGGACAACCCGGGTAAGCCCGGCCCAGGGGCGTCGGGGGCCACCCTGCCCCCCCCCTACGATGGGGACTGTGAGGGCTTGGGACAGGGCACGGCCGACCACGCGCGTGGTGATAACGTGAGAACTCCTGGGAAGCCACTGAGCCTCAGTTTCCTCATCTGAAAAATGGGCACCCGTGTGGAAACATGGGAGCCTCGCACCCCAGGGCTTGGGGCGGAGCGTGGCAGCAAGGTATGTGCGATCCCTGATGCCAGGGACGCCACCAGCCTGAGGGGCTTTCTCAAAGGACCCCTGGAGGAGGGGACCGGAATCCAGACTGTTCAGCAGGGACTCAGCCTGTGACCGGAAGGGCTCCTCTCTCCTGGCCTCTGCTCCCCCTGCTGGCGGATAAGGGGGTCTTTAAGGAAAAAAATGTTTTAATTATTTTAGTTTTGGTACTAGGACTGAACCCAGCTACATCCCAAGCCCTTTTTAAAATTTTCATTTTGAAACGAGGTCTCGAAAAGTCACTTAGTTGCTCAAGCTGGGTTTGCACTTGTTAACCTCCTGCCTCAGCTTCCCAGAGTGCTGGGATTACAGGCGTGCACCATCCTGCTCAGTTTTTGTATTATTTTTTTGGCCATGCTGGGGTTGTCACCCGGGGCTGCACACATGCTAGGCAAGTGCTCACCACAGAGCCACACCCAGCCTGTAAGGGGGTCTTTGAAACACACACACACGCGCGCACACACTGACGCACGACTTGCCCACTGCTGATTCTTGCCGAGAGCCCGGGGCTGCCTTCCCCGATGAGAGACCTCTGACCTCAGCCTGCACCCCCAGGCCACCCCTTCATCATGACCGTGGGCTGCGTGGCCGGCGACGAGGAGTCCTACACGGTGTTCAAGGACCTCTTCGATCCCATCATCCAGGACCGGCACGGGGGCTACAAGCCCACGGACAAGCACAAGACGGACCTCAACCACGAGAACCTCAAGGTCAGCGGCCCCCAAGGCAGGGACAGAGACAGGGAGGAGAGCGACGGGCGGGCGAGTGCGGGGGACAGAGACGCTGGAGCAGACGAACAGAGAGAGAGGGCAGAGAAAGCGGTCACAAAGGCAGAATAAGTGAGGAGGGACGGGAGCAGAAGTGGGAGCGTCCCAGACAGGAGAAAGACAGGGAGGGATGAAGAGAAACAGAAATGGGGAGAGAAGAATGTCAAAGAGGCATGGAGAAAAACAAACGAGGGTGAGCCGGGCGGGCGTGGTGGTGCACGCCTCTAACTGCAGCATTTAGGAGGCTGAGGCAGGAAGATCTCCAGACTTCAGTGGGGGGGCTTGGGAGGTGGCTGAGCGTCAGAGCGCAGGAAAGCTGGGGAGGGTGGGGGTGACCTGGGCTTTGGGGACTGTGCCCCGGCCCTGACACGTGTGCTCCCCAGGGCGGAAACGACCTGGATCCCAACTACGTGCTGAGCAGTCGCGTGCGCACCGGACGCAGCATCAAAGGCTACACGCTGCCCCCGCACTGCTCCCGGGGCGAGCGCCGCGCAGTGGAGAAGCTGTCGGTGGAAGGTGAGCGCCTCGTCGCACGGAGTGGGAGTCCCCTTCGCGCCCCGCTTCCCAAACACCCGCAGCCAGCGAGGCCGTCGTGGGTGCCCGGGGAGCCCCGGCCGCGTGTCGGATACGTGGGTCCTGAGAAGTCCAGCAGATGCCCAGCCGCCCCGGTCCCCGCGGTCAGTCATTCATTCAGCAAACATTTTGGCATGGCCCGGCCCTAGGTGGGGAGCTGCGATTCCGGGATACACGAGGTGGGCAAACTTAGCGTCTCACAAAGCCCTCAGCCTGGTGAGGAGAAGAGAGGAACCCCACACCAAGAAATTAGCGATTCCCAAGTGCCGTGAAGCCACCCAGAAAGGGGGCAGAGAAAGGGGAGGGGAGCCCCTGCGAAGTGGGTGCTGAGGCCCATTGGGAGGAAGGAGCCCAGGCAGGCGGACAGCTGTGCACCAGCGCGGGGCTGCACCGTGTGGGAGGAGCAGCAAGGGGCGGGAGGGGCTGGGCGGAGTGAGGGGGCAGCAGGAGACGGCGGAGGTGCGGAGGCCAGCGGGTGGGAGCCACAGGGCAGCAGCATAAGGGGGCGGCGCTTCAGATCCGTGTGGAACCCTCCGGCTGCCGATCATGGGCCGTGGGCAATGGGGGATCAGAGGGGCTGAGGGAGCCCCGTCGAGGTCCAGGGGTGGAGGAGGCAGTGACCAGATGGGGACAGTGCGTGTTCCGGAAGCCGAACCCCCAGGGCCTGCAGGGAGTTCGGCACTGGTAGGAATTTAACAGCTGCTCTCCCGAGGAAGAAAAATTCCTGAGTCACAACGACTGGCAATTTCGTGGCATAAATTCTGCTGTGGCCAGTTTTTTTTGTTTTGTTTTTGTTTTTTTTGCTGTGGCTAGTTTTGAGCTGTTGAGGTTAAGCCACTAGACATGGGAAGAGGAGCTTGTCATTCTGTGGAATCTGCCACACAGGTATAGGAGATGAAAACTTTAACAATCACAAAATAATTGCAATAGCATGTGTCACATCATATATAACAGTGTATTATTTGTCTTAGTTATTTTTTTGTTGCTGAGATAAAATATCCAACACCCCAAGTTAAAGGAGGGAAAGTTCATTTTACCTCTATAATTGGCGGGCTCCAAGGCAGGGTGGCACAGCAGGAGGGCATTGCAGTGGAGAAATAGTTCATGGTGGGCAGAAGGTGGCAAAGAAGCAAATCTAAGCAACCTTAGCAACTTCTTTTTGCACCCTTTATATCTTATCTAAGCTATTGGGCTTAGGGCAGATACCACACCAATCAGTGGAGTGATTTAGTAATCACCCTTCATCCCAGCATCACACACTCTAGATTCAGCCCTTTTGAAAAAGCCCCACCTATGACTGCAAGAGGTATAAGGAGACATCTAAACACGACCATATCATTCCACCTCTGTTCCCCCAAAGACTCACCTACATCTCTTCAGGTGAAAGGCATTTAGTCTGTCTTGAAGAGTTGCTAAAGTTAAAAAAAAAAAGAGAAAGAGTTACTAAAGTCTCAATGGTTTTAGCATTGTTGAAAAGTCTGCGTAAAGTATCCTCTGAGATTTAAGCGAACTTTTAGCTGCTTTTAGTGATCCTCCTGCCTCAGCCTCACCAGTGCTGGGATTGCAGGTGAGCGCCACCACGCCCAGCTCTGGGGCTTTCTTTTTAAACCAAAGTTTTATGCTTTTGCAATTTTGAGGCTGTAAAGGATGGAGTCTTGCTGGGTTTTGTGATATCTTCAGGCCATCTTTTTTATTGTCTTTTCTTTTTTTAGCAATCAAGTATTTTTCTCTTTTGTTTTTGTAGTCTACAGTTGTATTGGTGCCTTTCTGGGGGAACAAACTTATAACATTTTAAATTATTTTGTTGGGTTTTTTGCTCTTGATTTTTAACATAAATTGGCTAAAAACCTCCAAAAGTAGTCATGCCACTGTCCCAACATTAAACTGTCTTGCAACTTTTTCTGCAAGATTAACAAGTCTGCTGCCCTTAATCTCAGATTCAGACAAAGTCTCTGGACACAAGCAAAATGTAGACAAACTTTTTGCCAAGGCATAACACACATATTCTGGAGTCTAACAGCCCATGTGGTCCTTCTTTTCAGCCTGGTCTTTACTGACAGCATTTTAAACAGTATTTTGGTCTTCTGAGCTCTGACTAGAATCTCCCTTCAAGTACAGCCTCAGGCATCCCAAGGATGCTTTCCCAGCCAGCATCTCTGAACCTTTTTTTTTAACTCTTCCCTCAAGCCAGTTCCAAAGGCACCTGAGCCACAGTGGTGACCCCACTTCTGGTACCAAATTTTGTCAAGAGTTACTTTTTTTATAGCGGAGACAAATACCAAAGCATCAAATTTCTTTTGGCTCATGGTTTGTGGTGCTGTTAGACTATAATGGCCATCTCCAAGTCAAGGCGGCATAGCAGATGGGCTTCAGAGGAGAAACAGTTCATTGTGGGCAGAAGGTAGCAACGCAACAAAGTAGCAAAGAAGCAGCTTCTTTCTGCCCCTATTGTAGCCTATCTAGCTCCCAGCCTTAGGGCAGGTGCCAAACCAATCAGTGAACTAATTTAATACTTACACACCCTTAATCCTAACATCACACATTCTAGATCCAGCTGCCTCTTAAAAAGTCCCTCTTAGGGCCAGAGATTTAGCTCAGTGGTTCTGCCACCTACCTTGCTAGCACAAGGACCCAAGTTCAATCCCCAGTACCGAAAAAAAAAGTCCCTCTTATAACTATATAAAACTTTTTAAAAAATCTAAACACAAGCCATATTATAATGTATTAAATACATATAATGTAAAAATATTACATAAACATTTAGAATATATATGTTCAAATCTATTCCAAACATAAATATTTAAAACATATGAATATATACACAAATAACCATCTATTTTATTCATTTATTTGCTGTTGTTGTTGTTTGGATAGGGTCTCGCTACGTAGTCTAGCCAGCCTTGAACTCACTGTAGACCAGGCTGCCTTCAAACTCATGGCCCTCCTGCTTCAGTTTCCCGAGTTCTGGGATTACAGGCTTGTGCCACCACGCCTGGCATAATGGTCCATTTTAGAGTCAGTTTTACCAGTGGTCTCCAGATTCCTGAAACTGACCATGTGTCTTGCTAGCCAGTAGCAGACAACACCACTGTCACCTGCTAGAGGGTTGGATGGGTCTGCTCTTTGTTCCTGGGGGAAGCCAGGGAGGGACAGATCTGGGGTCAGGTCTGTAGACACCGACCACAGGTGCCTTCAGGACACCCCCAGGCTCAGGCTCTCCACTGCCCAGGTGGGTTGGGATGGGCTCTGACCACCCCTTGTGCCGACCCTCAGCCCTCAACAGCCTGACGGGTGAGTTCAAGGGCAAGTATTACCCTCTGAAGAGCATGACTGAGCAGGAGCAGCAGCAGCTCATCGATGACCACTTCCTGTTTGACAAGCCCGTGTCCCCGCTGCTGCTGGCCTCTGGCATGGCCCGAGACTGGCCCGACGCCCGTGGCATCTGGTGAGCCTCTCATTCCCAGTTTCCTCTTCTCCCAGCATCCTCCAGTCCCCTGTGATCCTCTCTGTGCCTCTGTCACGGTGGAGGCCATGACCTTGCCCTACACCCTGCTCTCCTGTGGTCTGTGTGTCATATCTAGGGAACTTGGAAGTGAGAAGTACAGTCAAGCATTTAGGAGGGGCCAGGGATTTAGCTCAGTGGCATGGCACCTGCCTCACAAGTATAAGGTCCTGAGTTCCATCCCTGGTACTGAAAAAAAATAAATAAATAAAAAAGAATTTAAGAGAACCAGACTGACTCCCTGAGCTCCAAACCCAGTTCTGTCACTTCCTGGCTTTTGGCCAAATGCTCTTGTGGTCCCAGCTACTCTGGAAACTGAGGTGGAAGGGTTGCTTGTGCCCTGGAGTTTGAGACCAGAGTGTGGGCAACACGAGTCCCTGTCTCAAAGAAAAAAAACCTATTCAATTGTGTGCCCTCGGGCAAGTTGCTCAGTTTCCCCATCTGTAAAACAGGGATCCCAATAATTCTTGGCGCCTTTAATTATTTTGTACTGGTAATCAAACTCAGGTCCTTGAGCTTGTAAGGCAGGTGGCAGAACCACTGAGCTAAATCCCCAGCCCAATTCTTGGCTCTTGAAATCCTTAGGAGGATTAAATAATTCAAATAACTTAAACCTGAAGACTTTTTCCCCCCCAGTACTGGGGCTTCCTACTAAGCTACATCGTCAGCCCCTTTTTATTTTTTTTTTTTATTTTGAGACAGGATCTGGCTATGTAGTCCAGGCTGGCCTTTAACTCATGGTGACCTGCCTGCTTCAGCCTCCTACGAGCTGGGATTACATGCATCTGCCTCCATGCCAGACTACCCAGCCCTTTTGAAAAACATTTATCTTGTTCTTTAAAAAAATTTTGTTGTCGTTGTTCTTTTAAAATCTTGAGACAGGGTCTCACCTAAGTTTCTAAATTGCCCAGGCTGGGCTTGAACCTGTGATCTTCCTGCCTCAGCCTCCCAGAGAGCTGGGATTACAGGCTTGCACCACCACACACAGCTCTTTCAGGTCTTAATGTTTTATAACTCTAAGCCTGTTTCCCCGATGCTTGGATTTGGGGTATCACATCTGGTCCTGAGACCAGATATAGCATCACCCAGGCTCACCTACTAAGACTGCAAGCTCCTGGAGACAGGAGCCTGAGATTCCAGGAGTCTACAATTTTATTTATTTGTTTATTTGGTCTGGGAATGGAATCCACTGCCTCCTACATGCTAGGCAAACACCTACCACCGAGAGACACCCTGGCCCCAAGAGTCTGTGATGCTGTCCAGACAGTCTTTAAAAGCCTTCTGTCCCAGGTTCGGGGTTCGGGAGGTGCGGGGCCGTCAGAGTCGTTGGGTTTAAGTTGCTGTGACTATTTGAAAACCCAGCCACTCACCTCATGCCCCTCAGGCCCGCCTCCTCCAGCGGGGCTGTGCTTGGGCCAAGACAGGGAATGGCTCCTTGGGTACTGACTCCTCGGTCTCTCGCTGCCTCCACCCTAGGCACAATGATAACAAGAGCTTCCTGGTGTGGGTGAACGAGGAGGACCACCTCCGGGTCATCTCCATGGAGAAGGGGGGCAACATGAAGGAGGTTTTCCGCCGCTTCTGCGTGGGGCTGCAGAAGGTGAATGTCTGTTCCGCCTCCTGCTACTCAGTTCTCCTGCAGCGCGAGCGCCCCACGCACTTCTAAAGTACACGCCCCTTCCATGCATGCCCCGCCCCACAACCAGCAAGCCTAACCACTTCCCCAGGGCCGGCTCTTCCTGCGCCAAGCCTAAGCCCCGCCCTTAGAATCGCTCAGACCAAGGCCACGCCCCCACATTGGCTCCACCCCTACGCCCGGGCCGGCCTGTAAGAGCCCGCCTCCCGCGTCCCCAAGCCCTGCCCCTCAGGAGCCAGCCTCCGGTTTAGTCGCAGGACCTGTGCCCCTCCAAATCCGTCTCCAGCTACGTCCGCCTGCCCTGTCCCTCTGAACCATTTGGGGGTGCTCGCTGGCTCTAATCCTTGATCCCCTCGCCCCTCAGATCGAGGAGATCTTTAAGAAAGCTGGACACCCTTTCATGTGGAATGAGCACCTGGGCTACGTACTCACCTGCCCGTCCAACCTGGGCACCGGGCTGCGCGGCGGCGTGCATGTGAAGCTGGCGAACCTCAGCAAGCACCCCAAGTTCGAGGAGATTCTCACCCGGCTGCGCCTGCAGAAGCGCGGCACAGGTGCGTCTGGGGCCGGCCCTTTGCGTGTTGAAAGGCAGGTGGGGCCTCGCCTCAAGTGCTGGGATCATTGAGGGCTGCCCCTCTGTGAGCCTGTTTCTTCCTCTGTAAAATGGGCGTGAGCACTTCTCTCTCGTAGGAGTTAGTATGATAGCCCCTAAACTCCCTCGGGGCCTCGTTTCCCCATCTGTAAACGGGGTGTGGTCAGGATTTAACCTCTGCTATTATTTTTCCGCGCGCGCGGGTCTCTGTGTTTTGAGACAGAGTCTCACTGTGCAGTTCAGGCTGGCCTTGAACTCACAATGTAGCCCCAGCTGTCCTTAAACTCGCTGCGATCCTCCTGCCTCAGCCTCCTGAGAGTGCTGGGGTTACAGGCATGCGCCAGCACGTTTGCTATGTTTTTATGTTGGGTGGTTGGGGGGTGAAGTACCTACCATACCTACCCTATACGCGGGCCCCGAGTACACGTACTACCCAGGCTCTGCTCCCTCAGGCGGCGTGGACACGGCTGCCGTGGGCGCGGTGTTCGACATTTCCAACGCCGATCGGCTGGGCTCGTCTGAGGTAGAACAGGTGCAGCTGGTGGTGGACGGTGTGAAGCTCATGGTGGAGATGGAGAAGAAGCTGGAGAAGGGCCAGTCCATCGACGACATGATCCCTGCCCAGAAGTAGGCGCCCAGCCTGGCTGCCGCCGCCTGCGGGAGCCGTCGCCCCCGGGAAGACCTGGCTCTGCACCCCATAACCCGCCCCCCGCCCGCAAGGCTCCACAGGTTCTGTCCGGGGCGCGCTGCCGGCTCTTTCGGAGTTCCCACACCGCCCAGTGTTCCGGCCAATGGGCTCCAGCCTCTCATTTCTGGCCAATGAAAAACCTCCCTCACACCCTCTTGTTTCCAGAGCCCCGCCCACCACAGGAGCTGGGGCTAATAGGGAGCTCCCCAGCGCATCTGGGGCTCCGGCTTCTCCACGCGAGACAATACATGAATGAAAGCAGTGGTGGTCTTTGCCGTGTGTGTAATAGTCGTTGGGGGAGGGGGAGGGGGTCTTCTGCTACTGGCCGCGGTGTCCTCGAAATCATTCCTTCCTAGGTGTGCTTTACCCCATCTGTGAAATGAGGTTCGGATACAGACTAATCCTGCGGTGAGAAGGCTGTGTGAAGAAACTGAGCCCTGACAGCTGCGGCCTGCAGTCACACCGTCACACAGCCAGACCGCTCAGAGCTCGCATACAGGTCGCAAAGTGGCTAAACAGAACATCTCCATCGGCCCACACAGCTCAGCACATCCACTGCTATTACGCTTTTCACGTTCTTCCTGTCCGCTCTACCGAGTCCTCTACAGCTGAGCTGCCAGCCATTTTTTTTTTTTTTTTTTTGAGACAGGGTCTTGCTATGCAGCTCAGGCTGGCCTCAAATTCGCAGCGATCCTCCTGCCTCAGCCTCCTGAGTGCTACGATTACAGGCGAGCGCCAACCTGCCCAACCGTTGCCAGCCTTTTGAACTGCTCTTGCTTTGCTAAGGAACCTGCCATGGGTCCCCACACTCAAAGTGTGGTCCTGTTGTTTGTGATTCTCCAAGGTCACGCTAAAATGCGTTGGCTGTACCTCATCTTTCCAGTTCTTCCCCGCTTATTGCTCTTTTGTTTTGCGATTCCCACCTCAGGGACTGTTCCCTCCCTGAGTCTGGGGCTTGGGTCAGAGCAGCCCTACACAGTCCAGGATGGGTCTTTTGGAAACTTGGTCCCAGGAAGGAGCTGAAGGGAGCCACAGCAGAGCAGCTGGGAATGAGAGGTCACAGCAGTCAGCTGGTATCTGGACACCGATTTGTTGCTGGGTCCATTAACCTCCACTCTGCCAAACAGGCCAAGGCATGCGGCCTTGAGGACATAGTTGGGCTGGCCCCAAAAGAAACAGGTTTCAGAAATGCGGGCCAGAATGGAAGCCAGAGGCCTCGGAGACCTGGCAGAAGCACTGTTGTTCAAACCTTAAGAGACACAGGTTAAGTCTCTTCGGAGATCAAGAGGTCTTTTTACACAGTGGAAACTGAGGCCCAGGAATGTCCCTCAAGAGTTCTCAGGATCGCTGAAAAAGGAAAGTTAGAAGATACCCAAAGATCAGCTGGTTGTGGTGGCCCAAGCTGAATCCCAGACTCTTGGAGCCTGCAGCAGGACAGCAAGTCTGAGCCCAGCCTGGGGAAGCCAGTGAGACCCTGTCTCAAGGTAAAAAGATGAAAAGCGTGGAGGATGCAGCTCAGTGTGAAGACCCTAGGTTTGATCCTTGGTAAAGGACACCACAATTTTAACCCCATCGCTAATCCCAGCCTCGTACCCAGAGGGCAAGAGACCACACTCAAGTGGGGACAGCCTGAATTGTGAACCTGTCAGTGACCACGTTCTACTCATTTTGCCGCATAAGACGCTTAAATCCATCACAGAGCCCACCCTGGTACCTCTCCTTCCTCCTCTCACATACCCGCATACAGAAAAACCTTTCTGTGGGCCCATTTTCCCAGCACTCAGGAGGCTGAGGCAGGACTAGGCTGCCATGCGAGGTTCAAGACTAGCTTGAAGTATGCAATGAGACGTCTTCAGAAAAAGAAAACAAAAACAAAAACCTCGATCATCCCTGCTCATAACCTTGCCATGGACCCTGTGACCCTGTAAGAAAACACAGGTCTCTGGTGGTCTGCCTCACAAGCGCAAGGACCTGAGTTCGATCCCTGGTACCCCCCCCCAAAAGAAAACAAAACACAGGTCTCTCTCTGAGACCTCCAAGGCACAAAACCCTCCAGTTTCCCAGTGCCTCAGGAGAAGGCCCAGCCTGAACACTTTGGCGCCCAAAGCCCTCTGTGGACAGGCTCTGCCTTCCCCCGTGTAAATCTGCCTGGCTCCCATGGCCCTCCTGGTCTGGACGCCTTTCCTTTGGGGAAACCTTAAACCCTGTTGTAGGTAGCGGTCAGGCCTCTCTAGTCAGTGACTGGCTCAGGGATGAACACATGACTTACGTGGGCCAATTAGAACAGGCCTAAAGACGGCTCCAAATTGACAAGGTCTCTCTGAGACAGACCCTAAATTGGAGAGTTGGGAGTGTGGCCCTGTGGGCATCATCTCTGCCACCAGGAAGGGCCTCTTGGCTGAAACTCCTGCGACACTGATTAAGGGGGAAGAAAAAAAAAAAAAAAAAAAAAAAAAAAAAAAAAAAAAAAAAAAAAAAAAAAAAAAAAAATGACAAGGGGCCTGATGCCTGGATCCAACCTAGCTGGGACCCCCTTGGACTATGTAGTAACATAAGCCAACACACACTTTTTTGCTTTGCCAGTGTAGACAAGATTGTTAAGTCTTCATACAGCATTTCTCTTGCTAATTCTCCACACATGCCCAACACAGCAGCCATGCTATTACATACCGAGTTCTCTCTAGTTACACCATGCACTCCCACTTCTGTCTGGGTTTTTGCTTTTATCCAAGGCCTGGGCACCTCCTATTCATCCTTCAATGCCCAACCCCAGCATCAGTTCCTCTGGAGCGTCTTTCCCAACCCTCCTCGTTGTTTACTTCTGCGCTCCCCAGGACAATGGTTTCTCTAGTGCTCGTCCTCCACAGACAGAGGCTCCTTGTGTCTCCACGTCCAGCACTGGGGTTGGCGCGGAGTAGGCACTGGTCAATGACTGTTTATTGAATAAATGTACTACTAGAGTAGGAAGAGGCTAGAGTCCAGTGTAACATGGCGACAGGAGTGGACGAACGGCCGATAGAGGACCTGGGCCCGGCGGGTGAGGCAGAGTGGTCCTGCCCTCTTCCACATCATCCTCGACCTCCCCCCCGCCACTCCCGCTCTGCAGAGGACCTCGAGGTTCAGGAGCAGCAGCGCAGGCCCGGGCATGGAAGAAGGGCCCAGGCCGGCGTGGGGGACTCTCCTAAGTCTATCGGGCGACAGGCTGCAGGTCAGGGGCTGACAGAAGGGCGGGGTGGTAATAACTTAAAAACCGGAGGTGACAGTAGCAGCTCCTCGGGAGACCTCTGCAGAAGGGACGGGGTGGTATTTACAAGGATTTGTACAAAGTGCCCCCTCGCCAGCCTGGGGCAGAGGAGGGGTTTGAGCATGGGGGAAGGAGGGGAAGGAATGGGCCTCTGACCCCCACTGCCAGACCCCAAGTTCCCCCGTCTTTAGGCTCAGCAGCTTTCCCCGCCTCTGCCCAAGACTCAATTCTTGAGGGATGAAAGTTTCCTCAGATTCCCTTCCCGCCCGTCTGGTCCCCGAAGTCTTCTCAGGTGCCCCACGGCAGGGTGAAGGGAACAGGACCAGACGGAGGCTCCAGGAGGTGCCGGCTCCCACCGCCAAGCCCCCCACTGCTCTCTGCCAGGAGGCCCCAGACAAGAGCAGAAGGGACAATCTCTGTTCCCCAGTGTAACCCAGGGAAACCAAGCCGATAAGGAAGAGAATCTCCTCCCTGCCCCCTTTTCCTCTTGCAGAAGTGAAGGGCAGAGGAGAGAGAAAAAGGGACCCAGGCCATGGAGGCTCAGAGCTCGAGGTCATTGGAGATGCGGGTGACGAGGGTGCGGAAGGCCAGGGCGGTGCCTGCCACGCGGCGGAAGAGCACGCCCCGCAGGCCCGGCCGGGGCAGCTGGCAGACCTCCACTTCGAAGTGGGACAGGGGC